CCCCCCCCCCGCCGGCGGGCCAGTCCCCTGGGCACCCGCATGCGGGACGCGGCGGCTCACGCTGCCAGCCCCAGCCTTCCCGTCGGCCACCACGGGGCAAAAGCCTCGAGTGGAAATAGGCAGAGTCCAGAAGTTTCCCTGTTAGAGATAAATTTGTGATTTTTTTTAAAGTGGGGGATAAAAATCCCGAGACTTTCAGAATTCCCAACAACCGAACAATTTTAACGCAGCCCATGGAATTACATTGAGTTTCTGCAACTGGGAAAGGTCATCCCGATCCTACGTTTTGCTATGATAAAAATGATGCTGTTCCAGCTTGGTTTCACCTTCCAAGTATTTTCGGTGCCGTAAAATACAAGTCTTCCCTGAGAGCAAACCAGCAGCGATACAGCAGGGAGGTTTCAGGCCTGACAGAGCTGTGGCTTTTTTGCAAAGGGTGGGAAACGTCCATCGGAGCTGGGCCCCGGATGCTCGCGCCCCTGGGCTCTCCGCAGACCTACGCCGCGTTTTCGAGCGGCAGGGGGGCCGCAGCCGCTCCCTGATGAGAGGCTGTCGGATGTCTCGGCTCACAGAGGCTGTTAAAGCAGACCTCGGAGTCGTGGTAACCCCGAGTCTTGGACGACTCCTGGGTTTTTTTTCCCTGTTGTTTCCTCCCGTAGCCTCAATTAGAAAAGCTCGTGTGACTTCCCACCTTGGAGTGGGGTTGAGCATTTTAGCATCTGCTCCTTCAGCTCCTGCTCTGGAGCCCGGGAGGACGAGACCCTGGAGCCTCCCAGGGGTCAGAGTCCTGCAGAAACCTGGGCTCCTTGTGCCATCGGCTGGAGTAAGCTTCCCCCAAAGGAAGGGGTTGCGTGATGGTAGCTGCACCCCGGCTTGCTGTAACGCACCAACCCTGAGAGGCCGATTTCCCCCTCGGCCGCGCGGGCTGGATCTCCCACGCCTGCAGCCCAGCCGTGGGAACTAGGGTATCCCATGGTTAACCATGTCCCGTGGTTAACAGAGGGGCTCCTTGCTTCCCTGGGCTCTGGAGTGAGATCCCCCCGCGGCCGCCCCGCTCCTGTGCTGAAGACCAGGGAGGAGGGAGCAGAGATCGGACGTGGCTCCAGGCTGCAGACACCCACCTTGGGGTGCCCTGGGAGCCTGAGCTCTGCTGAGCCGACAGAGATCCAGCCTAGGCCATTGGTGGTGGCCAGGGAGCCTCCAGGCTCAGCCTGCAGTGTGCACCCTGGTTGGTGAGCTGCATCAATTGCTTCCCCAGCTCCATAACTGGTAGCACGAGATGCCTGAACTTGGACCTTGAGCTCAACCCAGTGGGCAAAAAAAATGCTGTTCAAAATGTCTGGGGGCTGCAAGTTCCTTGCATGGAGTGGGTGGCTGTGTCCTGGGACCTGGCAGCTGGAGGGTGGGTGGGATGCTCAAGAGCATCTCAAGTGGCGTGAGAAACTAGTGACTACATCCAATGTTGTGTGGTGCTCCTCAGTGGCCGAGAGTACGTTTCTTGGGGTTCTCCTAATCTCAGGGACTGATGCTATTCTCAGCGATGCTGTTTTACCTCGGCAGTCCCACCAAGGCTACCTGTGATGAGCTCCTTCCTAGAGACCCAGGGTGGGCACCTGGGCATCATTCAGTGCACTGTTGAGAGTGACCCAGAGGCCCAACTGACCCTACGCAGAGGAGAAGAAGTAATAGCCTGCACGTGGGACTGCCATGTAGCCACCAACCCGCGGGTCCAGGCGACCTCATCATACAACAGCCTGAAGGTGGAGATCCACGAGGTGGTGCTGGAAGATGAGGGGACCTACGTGTGCTTGGCAAGGAACCCGCAGGGCAACGCGAGCGCCTCTATGGACTTCACGGCTGAGAGTGAGTGGTGCGCCGGGGTGTTATGGAAGGGGCAATGGGAAGGCCTGTGGGTTGGACCCTGAGAAGACAGGACAGACCCAGGCACTGCCCATCCCTGCACTGGGGAGGAGGATGGAGAGCGGGTCTCGTAACAGGAATGTAGAAGAGCTTCCCAGCTGGACAGCTGAGAAGAAGGTCTGAACGCTCTCTAGGAAAATCCTTGGGAGATGGGAGGAAGGGGAGGGAATTCCTAGAGAAGGAGAAAAGCCTGGGAAGATTAGGGATAACGTGGGATTGCACAAGTGCTGCCGCCTCCTAGTGCGTTAGTCCCTGGGTCTGTCCTAGAGGATCGTGTCCAGCATCTGGCCCCTCTGATGCTGCTCTAGCCCCAAAAGCAGAGGGTTGGGCTTTGCCCTGGGGAGCAAGGGGAGGGGAGATGCTCTGGCCTCCTGTTCACCGCTGTACGTTGAGCTTCCTGGAAGAGGCTGCTTTCTGCAAAGCCGTAAGCGTCCAGTTTAGGCTTGAATTGTGACTGAATTCAGTAAATCAAAACCAGCTTCCCCGCGTGTGGATGCAATACTAGCTATCGCAAGCTCTTTGCGGGCCATGACTGTGTCACACGCGATGGCGGGGGGGGGAAGGGGCGGGTGGCTGTCGGCTGGGAAATCAGGAGAGGTGGCAGCCAGCTCGGCGTGACCCACTCAGCTGCCACCTTTGGAGACATCTGCCAAACCCTGCAAGCGTTGCAAGCCCCGCGCAGCTCGTGATGCTGAGCACTGTCTGGCAGCGCATGCACATGTGCCACCAGGCACAGACCCGTTCCCACGCCTCCACGCACCTTCGCATCCGCATCCAACCGCCCTGTGCACTCCCACTTGCCTCTCCTTATGCCCCGAGGTCTATTTTTAGGATCTGTGCCCATCTTGGCATGCCTTGGCATGCCTTGGCAATGTACCGAACCCACTTGCCTCTCCTTACGCCCCAAGGTCTATTTTTAGGATCTGTGCCTATCTTGGCATGCCTTGGCAATCTGGTGTTTGCCTTCTCCTGCAATAGCTGCAGAGACGCTTCGTTAGCCGGCAGCCTGTAGAAGGGGTGATGCTGGCTGTCCCTGGCGAAGCTAACCTGCTGTGCAGCTCGTGCAGGAGCCCGTGCCCTGCCTGCCCGGGTGCCAGCGTGCCCCAGGCTTTGCAAAGGCCCTGCGTGCATGCAATTGGCTTTCTGGAGCCTCCTCCGAATTTCTCTTGCCTCTGCCCTTGCCCTAGCTGCCCAGATCCAGGTGGCCCCCTCCTCCCGCGTGCTGGAAGGCCAGGCCGTCAACCTGACCTGCGGGGTGAGCAGCGACTCCCCGGCTCCCTTTAACTTCAGCTGGTACCGAAACGGCCGGTGGCTCGCCGAGGCCTCGGCGGCCTCCCTGGTGTTTCGGCAAGTGGCAAGCGCGGACGCCGGGCTCTACTCCTGCAAAGTGACGACAGAGAGGACCAGCCGGAGCTCCGCCGCGGTCTCCCTGAACGTGCTGTGTGAGTGCGGCGCTGCGACATGCCGGCTCCTGCCGGAGCGGGGCCGGTCCCTGGGGCAGGGAGAGCACGTGGCTCTGGGCAGAACGAGAGCGGGAAGAGCCCTGGCTCTCGCTGAGCTGGTGCAGACACCCTGGAGGGATGTGAGCACATATGTACGCTTGCATGAGGCAAATGGGGAGGGGGGGGCTGTGGCATATTTGTGCATGCGTGCATGGATGGATGGATATGAAAGCGAGCCTGCCCCTCTCCTCCTGCCTGCAGCCACCCCCACTCTGCTCCTTTCTGCCTCCAAACCGCTCTCCTGGCCTCTCCAAAATCCACTAGTGCTTCTGTCGCAGCTCCAAGTCTCTGCTCCCCGCTGCCCCCCTGCGAAAGCGAGGGGCCCCTCTGCTCCTTGCTGATCATGCACCTTCTCCAGGAAAGCTGCTGTGCCCTGAGCGAGGTTATCTGCCATCGTCTCTACTTTCCCGCTGAACGAGTATGCGTTTAGTGTGTGGCCAGGCATGCATACGTGACCAGGCAGGTGTAAAGCTGCATGGCAGAGCATGTGCGTATTTGAGTGGCTGTGTGGTGTCACCTACCCGTGTAGGTATCTGCTACAGGCAGAGACGGAGCTGTCTCTCTGCAATTCCTGGCCTGGCAGTGCCCTGGCCAGCAGAAACCCTCCTTTTCCTTTTAAAGGAGGTTCAGTTTGTTGCTGTCTCTACGCAAGGCCTCTGATGGCTATTGCTTTCCGGGACAGCCCATGTGCTGAGGCCTGGTGGCAGTGCGTGAGCCCCAGAGCACTGCGAGAGCTCTTCACAACGGTCCTGGCACTGAGACAGTTGTTCTCCATCCTGTGCAGACCCCCCGAGGGGCCCCCAGGTCGCTCTGTTTCTGGAGATGCAGAGGGGAAGGCTGGCCATCTTCCAGTGCTCAGTGGAGAGCAACCCTTCTGCCCAGTTGGACCTCTACAAGGGAGAGGAGCTCGTGGCCTCCAGCAACCCAGGGAGCAGCCCCAGCCAGCGGATTGGCGTCACGGCCTCCCCGAACGCCCTGCGAGTGGAGATCCGGGGTGTCACGCTGATGGATGAGGGCAGCTACCGCTTCGTCGCTACCAACGCGCACGGCACCGTGTCCCATCGCCTGTATTTCCGTGTGCAGAGTGAGTACGGGGCGTTGTGGTGGGCTCACTGGTGCCCTGCTGGGCTCCCCTCCGGCCCAGCACCTTGGCGCGGGGAGGCGGCACTGTCCTGGGGACCAGCCGTCTCCGTCTCAGCAGCAGCAGGACCTTGCACCTTGCTCACAGCTCCTCTGCGTGGGGAGCGCAGGATCACCCCACCGCGGCAGGACTCGGGCTGGGAAGGGCAGGAGAAACCCCTTTGGAAAGATCCCGTTAGGGACAGCCCTACCACCCAAGGCACAACATACCTCCTCAAAGTGCATCCTCGCGTGCTCAGACCGCTCTGATGTGGTGGGAAACGTTGTGAGAAAGGTGGGCTGCAGCAGGACCTGCTCTGCAGCAGGCGAGAACTAACATGAAAGGTGACCTTTTCTCCCTGTTTCTGCCTCTATGCTGTTGTCTGATGGGAAGAGATAGTACTCTGGGAATTGTCCCATGATGAGAGCGGTTGAGAGAAATGTCACTGAGTGTCTCAGGCTATGGCCAGACAACCCAAAGCAGCTAAGCTACTGCAGCCGGGTGTGTTCCTGCTCACCCCAAGTCACAGCAGGGAAGTGGTTTATGTTAAAGCATTTTGCCTAGAAGCCAGTGTAAGCCAGCATCTGGCATGCTTTGTTTTGCAGCTCAGCTGACAAGTTGTCACCTTTTAAGGTGACTTCTTGAACCCCTCAGAAAT